GAAGGGAGAAGAGGTGTTCCTTGGCTGCGGGGCGGCCCGAGGGCGGCGGGGGCGCGGGTGCTATTTGTAAGGCCGGAGGAAGCTGGAGACTTTGGAGCGGAGGAGTTTGATGAAGGAGCGGGGCAGCATCTCCTTGTGTTTCTCCGTGTACTTGAAGTAGTTCTGGGGGTGCGCCAGCACGTCGAAGAAAGCTTTGATGAGCTTCTTGTCCTGTGGGGAAGCCAAGCCAGAAGGGGGGTCACCATCCCACCCCGTGGTCATCCTGCAGCGGCTCCGAACCGAAGCCACGAGCACAGGGAGGACATGGGGCACACCAGAAGGGAAGGATGCTCCTGCATGCCAGCATCCCCCGGAGCCCCGGGCAGCGAGGACCCCGTGGGGACGTGCTCACCTTGAGGATCTCCTGGTGGTTTTCGGAGGCGTAGAGCCTGCCGTCCCGCACGATGTCCTCCACCAGCTGCTCGTAGTCCTCTGCAACACCCAGCCGAAAAACACGATGAGGGCATGAGCTGTCACGTGTCCCCAAACCTCTGGTCCCCATCCCTGAGTCTGCCCCCCTCAAATACTTGGGAGGTGTGAATTGGGAGTGACCTGGGTACAAAAGCGGGCAGGGAGGCATCGGCATGCCGGGATGGTGTCCCCCCCCCCCCCCCGTACTCACCATCGTAGGTGACGTAGGGGATCTGGAAGCCCCGGGCGCTGTTGGCTTCGCTGGTTTTGAAGTTGATCCACAGTTTCCGAGAGCGGGCGGTGAAGGCGATGGGCCTCTCGTAGGTCTGGCACGTCTCGTAGGTGGTGATGGAGGACGGGGAGGCTGCAGGGAACAGGGGGGGGATGCGTGATGCCGGATGCCCATTAGCGGAGCTACCCCCAGCTTTACCGTGCTTAAAGGCTCATGGCGAAAAGGGGCACCAGGGATGGGGATTGTCCGTGTTCGGCAAGGCTGAGCCCCCCCCCAACCCTCACGTTACATACCGGGGATGTTGTTATTCCTTCCTTGCTCTGGAAAGCTCTGAACAGGGCTTTTTATCCCAAAAAAAGAAATGCTGAGACCCAGGTGTGCAACCCAGCCCACGCTTAGCCCACGTACATCCCCCTGATCCAGCAAGACACCGGGATGGCAGGGCGCTGCCGATCCCCTGCTCACCCAATTCCCCAAAATCCCCTCCTGCCGCCCGGGGACACGGCTTTCTCCCTTTGCACAAGGCAGCTCTGCCAAACCCCAGCCTTCTCCTCCCCCGGCTTCTCCCGTGAGCACCGCAGCACGCTCGGTTACCTACAGTTTTTCCGCATGACCAAGACGTCGCCGCACTCGTCCTCGGAGGGGAGGAAGATCTCCGGCACCACGATGAGGATCTTGCGCTTGGGCGGCGGGTTGATGTTCCAGGTGCACTCGACGTTAGCGGGGTAATTCCCCGGATAGTTGGGGGACTCGATGTAGCCCGTATATTCGCCCAGCTCCCCCCCGCACTGCCGGTCTGCAAGGCACGGAGAGCCGGTTCAACTGGGAACCAGTGGCACGGGCACTGGGACTGGGGGGGGGTTTACTGGGCACGGGGGGAAAGTTCTCTATTAGCACTGCTCATAGCATACCCCCATGCCTGCCTGCATGCGTAAAGCACAGAAATGACCCGAAACTGTCATTTTAAGGGATTTTAAAATAATTTTGAGGAAGGACCCCAGTTCACGCCATGCCTGTCGCCCCCTCCATCGCACCCCAGCTTGCCTACTTTTGCACTGGGACACGGAGGTGGAGCCGTCGAAGTCGGTGGTGGTGTTGCCGGGACAGGCAATGCAGTAATTCTGCCGAAAATCGGGCTGGTAGGTGCCCACGGCGCAGCGGATGCAGCGGTGGACGCTCGTGTTGTAGTAATGCCCGGGG